TGTCAAACCACCCTCTCCTGCTGCTCCCATCTGTCTCAACACTATTACTTATTACCTCCATTCATCTAGTGTTTCCTCCGCTCATAAAGACAGCCAACAGAAACAGTACTTTTGGAAAGCTTTCCCTTAAGTATACTCCTATCTCATCATGGGAGCAGTAGCACAGAGGGAACAGTGGGCCAGATGCTCAGAGGCAGCATAGTATAGACATGTATAGACTCCTACCCTGGAGTTTGCATGTATTGTTAAATAACAACAACAGCAACACATAATGCTCAGTCTATGCTTTCTTCTGATCTTAGATCTTCTTGCAGTTTTTTCTCAGAAAGACCCCTCCTTTCCTGCACCTAGCTCTCTGAGAGGCACTTGGAGCTACTGTAACATGACTCAGCTGATTGGATATTAGAGTGAGTCAGCAAAAATAACTGCCTCTTTCTAGCTTCCCCTGAGTGACTCATAAGTAGAGCCTTCCATTCCTGCATGGAGAGCCCTAGAACCTGCTGCCCTTACTGGTGTCTTGCAGGGCTACCAGTTAGCGACTCAGATCCTTGCTATTCACAAAGTATACGAAGAGTGGAGAGATGCATCAAGATACCCTCTAGGCAGACCCAAAGTTTGTTGGAAAGGAGACAGCAAGATACTGGTGGTTGTGTATTAGCAAAGGTGAGGAGGGAGGAAGGAAAAGGCAGGAGAACTTGTACATCCTTCATTGCGGCTGCCATTTTGAGCAAAGGGTGGGGGAACAAAAGCTCAGGAGGCAGAGTGATTGTAGACAAATATGGTGGCACCCTTACAGTACCTGGAACTAGGTTGCTTAAAACCCCTTTCCCACAAACTTTTTAATAAAAATATCTTGCAATACTTACTAGATGTGTTCCCCTTTCCCCCTGAAATTTGGTTCTCCTCCTGTGGATGCCATGGTTGTGATGTGGTAAACTTCTGGGTCTCTGGGACTGGGTCTACTTCTGTCCCCGAAGGCGATGAGAAGTGAGGGTTAAGTCCTCGTGCTTGGTGCCCGGTCACTGCTTGGTGGTATCCACACAATGCAGTGGCTCAGTGGTGGCATCTCTCCCAAATATACAATCCAGCCCCTCATCTCAGAGATGGGGGGAGGGATAGCTCAGTGGTTTGAGCATTGGCCTGCTAAACCCACGGTTGTGAGTTTAATCCTTGAGGGGGCCATTTAGGGATCTGGGGCAAAAATCTGTCTGGGGATTGGTCCTGCTTTCAGCAGGGGCTTGGACTAGATGACCTCCTGAGGTCCCTTCCAACCCTGATATTCTATGATTTTAGCCACAGACCCTGCAAGCTCTCCCAGAGGTACTATTGTTGTCCTTTCTGCTCTTATAACCCATCTGGAGCTCCCTTCCCTTCCCTTAGTGCAGCACTGGATTGGGTCTCAGTTGTGCCCCCTCGCCTTCATTTGTCCTGATAACTGCTGGAGTATTTGTACGTTGTGGTGGCTAACTTCCAGATGTTTCTGTACTGTGACAAAGTCAGGCCAGACAGCTGCAGGAGGGTCTGGGAAAACAGGTATGTTAGCCCTAGAATGCTAAAGGCCCTTTTTCCGACAAGCTGGGAAGGGGTTCCTTCAGGTCAATTAGGGACACCTGAGTCCAGTTAAGGGCTGCCTGAAACCTGTTAAAATCTCTCTCCTGCAGGGGGGAGGAGAGACAAACTGCTGCAAGGCTGGAGGCAGCAGGGAGATAGGCTTCTCCAGTGTGAAAGACTGCGCTCCTCCCCCTAGGGGAGACATCCAAAACCCAGTGCCTGTTTAGGGGAAGGACTGACACCCTGGGGCCAGCGACAGGACAACTCCTGCCCCAGTGAAGGGGCCAGGAAAAGGTATTCCCCTTTTGTTTCGGTGCGTTATAGACTTTTCCCCTTTGTCTGGTGGAGGGGCACTCCTCAGGCTTGCCCTGAGGCCTACTGGGAAGGCTCTCAGAAACAAACCCCAAAGAGGGAAGACAGACACGCTCCTGAGTGGGGGTCTAATTTACCCCAGACCCTGTCCCTGCCAGAGGAGGGAGCGCTAAGTCTGGCGAGGCAGAAGGGGTGCCTTGCCACAGAACTCACTCCTCTCTTCAGAGGGCAATGAAATCCAGGGCATTAGCAGGAGACCTCGCTGATGCGCCACTCACCAAGGCTCAATGAATAGGAGGATGACACAGGTTTCTGAAGTCCCCACAAGATGGAATCACAAAGAAAAGATCCTGGCAATGTGTGAGCATTTAAACAGCAAGGTGATATCTGGTCAGGATGACTCTGGCACACAGAAGAGGTCACACAGATAGACAGGCAGCCTAAGTACCTAGCAAAGCATCATGAGATACTGATGGGATGACTTGGGAGATGCACAACATTGCTATGGAATGAGGGTGTATCCACACCTACTTTGCTTCAGGCAAAATCATCCAACATTTAAGTCAATCTGTTTCTAAAGTAAGGTTAAGAACATGTGTTCAAAGGCCAGATGAGTCATGACAAAATACTTTGTTTGTGGATGTTGGGCATTCTAATGCAAATCAAGTCATGTTGATCTGCAACAAATTTGAAGTGTAGACAAGCCATTAGATTGTAAGCTCTTATGGGAAGTGACCATCGTTTACTTCTGAGTTTCTACAGCAGCTAGCACAAAGGGGTCCTGGTCCGTCACTGGGGCTACTAGAGCAATAAAATAGAAATAATAAATAGATAAAAATGTTAGTAATGAATGTCAGAGGAGGAGGCTTTTGTGTAACAGTGATGTGTGTGTTGTAAAGGGCAAAGAGGAGATCAGTATTGGATGAGTGGAGGATGAAGGCTGAGGCGCAAAAAGGCAAGGTCTTTTTGGTAGTTTAGACCAACTTCATGGGATCTATCTAGCTATCTATCAGTGCTACCTTGCCCTGAAAATGAAAAGAGAGCCAGTGGTTTTGCTTGAGGATGGGGATTGTGTGTGTGTGTGTGTGTGTGTGTGTGTGTGTGTGTGTGAGAGAGAGAGAAGATGGCAACAACATTCTTCATGTACTAGAAACTGGAGAGCTAGGACTTAGGTAGAATTAGAGAAGGGATTTGCAATAGTCACTGCACAAGGAGATGAAGACCTGGATTTAGATTTCAGCTGAGGTGGAGCTGAAGAATTGATGTATATGGACAATATTGCAGACATTGGGATAGGTAGGTTCATAGACTATGAAAAAGAGGAAGGACATGAAAAATTCAAGGTCCAGGATGGTGCCAATGATATCGGGCAGTGCAGTCAGATGGGAGACCTTGGTCGAGGAGGGAGAGATTGAGTTGTGTCTGAGGATGGGCATCTTATCCATGAGAAGTGCTTCTGACTTAATAAATACAACAGTAATAATCACCCATTTGAATTAATTGGTCACTCATTTGAGAATTTCTGACCAAGAAACCTTAGTGACATTAAAAAGTATATGGTCTGCAGAAAAGAATATTGGATGTAGTTCTGTAAGGAATGCCAAAAAGAGCGGAGTTAAGACGTAGGAACAAAAATAACCCAGAAATTAGAGAGGCAAAAAAGGGGTGTTTTGGCTTTGCTGTCTTCCAAAGGGTAGAAATGGGCTGAAATAACAGTTCTTCAGGCTTCTAAGTGTACAATAGGGCCCCGTATCCAAACTTAGTTGCCTGGCTTTAGGAACCCAAATGAGTGGCCTGATTTTTAGAGATGTGGGTGCTTAATTTTAAACCCCCAGGTTTGAAAATGCGATCTAATTTTCTTTAAAGGTAGTTTTAACAAATGTAAACTGTTAGGGTTAAGTATTTTGAATATATAGCACACCACTGCATGTACTTGTAGGGAGCATAGTATATTTTTTAAATACTGTCTCAGAAGTTGCCCAGTTGCATACTCTTTCTGAACCCAAAGCTGGACTTCAGAGGAACATTGTGCATGTTTCCATGAAGAGTTTTACATAGTTGTTAGACTTCTGCACCATTTACTATGCTTTGTGCACACATTTTACATGTCTTCATATATTCAAATTAAGTACTTACGTAGACCTTTTGAATGGATTTTTCTATTAGAGCATGCATGTTACTGCGTGTTCTCTTTCTTAACCCATCTTTCAGCGGCTCATAAATTTGGCAAGCATATTTCTTTTGAGCTGATGTTTTCCATGCTTGCTTTCAGCCCAAAGGGACACTTGTTTGGAAAGTTTTTGAGGAAAATATGGTTCAGCTGTTTTTGAGTATTGCATGTGCTAAAGAAATAGACTGTTCCCATTTCCCACTGTTGTTAGTAACTCACATTGCTGTGCTATCGCTGGGTTGCTACTGCTTTAAAACAAGATTAGGTTTTGTTGGTAAAATTAGACAAGCTATTTGATTTGTTTATCATTTACAATATTAAAATTTATGTAAAATGTATTATTCTAACCATTTAAAGTGACAGATTAAATGTCAGGATGAGTTATTGAAGAGAAATCTGAATAACTATGTGAGCAGTTTGGCTATTTTTCCTCAACATTTCACAAGGCATATAATGTAACTCACACAGATCCACTATTATCCTAGTAACAAACTCATAAATTATAAAACAAATTTTATAAACTGAATAGGATATTGAAATATGGCTTAAGTAATCCAGCCAGTGTACTTGGAATTAATTCTCTGGAAGAGCCCTATACATACCAATTGAAACTGCACCACCAATAACAATTCCTTAATTTTTTTTTTTATTTTCACCATCTATTAGCAATAATAATCTCAGCAGAGGGCATTTTCTAGAGATTGATGAGTGGCTTAATTAATGACCCTTCAGGCTATGTTTTGGGCCATTAAGCACCTTACAGCTGATGAGGATCTCCAAGAACTTCCCAGCTTCTGTGGAGGTGGTGGTTAATATTTAAGGCCATGTGTGTTACTAGCCAAACTTCATGCTTTAGATAATTTTCCAAAGTAAACAGGGTCCAGTCTGTCCTTTTCCCCCCACAATGCTTTCATGAAGGTTATTTGAAGAGAACACTTCCTTGAACTGCTTTTGTTATTTCATGTAGGGGTCGATTCAACAACTAATGATCAAACCTGACCCAAGGGCTACTGAAGACCAATGTGAAGATGATGACCCATATGTGAGTACTCACACACACACCTCTCCATCTGTTTTCAGTGGTTCTGTGCCAAGGATTTGAATTACAATAGCACTTTTTAAACAAAACTGTTAGGAGCTGGGATGTAGGCAGTCTTTCTTAGTGGTCAGAGAGCAGATGTCAGGTCTAGTGAGCAGAGTAGGCATCTAGGTCGGGGAGCGGAAGCAGAAGTCAGAGCTGGAATCAACTGCCAAATACCAGAGCTAGGGGGTCCAGCCAGAGTCAGGACCAAAATCGAAGCTGAGAATCGGAGCCAAGGCCAGATACCAAATGCCAGACCCAAGGGTTGAACCAGAGTTGGAGTCAGAAGTCAGAGCCAGGATTGGTAGCCAATGGTCATGAGCAAAGTGAAAGGGCAGGAACCAGAGAGAGGCAGGGATCAGGCATGGAGTAGGAGCAAAGTGGAAGCTAGGAGTGCAGAACAGGTCTGCAGCAGAGCAGGACTCAGGAACAGAGTTGGATACAGATTGCAGGAGGCAGGCAAGAGGAGGGTGAAACATGGCAGCAGCAGCAAAAAGTTTGCACAGTTGCTTGGACAGTCCTCCCAGCTCACTTCCTAGCTTAAGTAGTGGGTGTGAGCCAGTCAGGTAGCCATAGGCCTTGGGAGCTCTGACTGGACTTCCTGTGGGGGCTGGCCTTCCAAGTTTAGAGAGATGCTGCTTCATACAGCTCCCTTGGTGGTGACAAGGGAGTGTCAGAGATCCAGGGTCCCCACAGCCAGGCATTCTAGACCTGCCCCCTTGGATCCTTACAAAAACAAATGGTAGTCTCTCTTCTTTGGAACACACTGAAATGCTTGAAAGTGTTTTGTTGGTGTGCTTTGTTTTGTGCTGTTCCCCTTGGAAGCCAGAATCCTCAAAGAATTTCCCAATCTTTAGTCTCCATCACCTTTGAGTCCTTGAGTGGTGACATTCATTTTGCTAATATACTCATCTCCATACTCTACTTTAAATGCAGAAATAAGTTACTTTATAATAATACTGGAACTAAGTTACTGAGAAATACACATAACTAATTTTTCCCACGTAACTACAAGTGAAAAGTGAAGCACAAAAGAATCCGAAGAGCTATTTTGTGCTAGAATGTAACATTCTGACTCTGGGATTTTCTAAACTCATTCTAATGATTTGCTTTTGTGTAGGCATCGGGAGATTCTAGTGGCGCTGGTAGCATTCAAGAGCAGGAAGGACTTCCTGAGACAGAAGAAGTCATTGCATCTTCTCAACCCCTAGTAAGTGTCAGCAATTATTCAGCAAAAAGAACAGGAGTACTTGTGGCACCTTAGAGACTAACAAATTTATTAGAGCATAAGCTTTCATGGGCTACAGCCCACTTCTTCGGATACCTTTCTGCATTACCAGTACTTTAAGTAGTGAGGCGCAAATGCTGCCATTGGATACTCATTTGCAGCACCCTCTGAGGCCAATCAGAGTGACGTGCCCTACCAGAATTTGGCCTTGGAAGTCCAACTTCCTTCAGGCTTGATAGTGAATTAACAAATTTGCCCCAAGCAAGGGGCAGCACATTGTTATGCTGCCCCTGGAGCAGAGCCATGTGGAGGGAGTGTGACTTAGTGACTCTCAGAAGTTCTCTTATCATATAGGTTTACAAGACAGTATTGCAGGATCCTGCCTTCATTTTTTCCCTCAGGCCCTTTTTAAAAGTTTCTCTACAACATTCTGTTAACCCACTTTGATGCAGGGTGATACGCAGCTGACCTAATGTGTTTTGTTTCAGTATTTTTAAAATCTATCCTGACTGTTCAGTGATTGGACTCTTGCCTTGTTCACTTACTTCACACTGCCTGTCTTGTCAACATACGGCTCAGACCTTTTTTCATTTACAGCAGCATAAATCTGGATTTAGTCCAGAATTGCACTGTAGTCGTTGAATACAGACCATGGCCAAAATTCGGCCTAGATCTGCAGGATTTGTATCATTCACTAGGTATCCCTGCCTCATTCACGGTATACTGTATAGCCTTCCACCCCTGGCTCTCCTTATTCCACCCTGTACTCTTTGGGAGACCTGATGAAGGAAGGAATGTATTCCCTGCCTGTATTCAAGTAAGTGTTTGTTACTTGTTACCCTGTAATCCATTTAAAAGAATTAATATAAGAAGGGGGGGTCAAATATAAGAAGGGCCCCCCCCATGTTACTCTGGCCATATCAGGAGCTTGATAAGATGCAGAGTACTACAAAACATGAGTTGCAAAGGTGATTCTTTCTTTGATTCAATTTAATTTCTTCCTCAAAACACAGAACAAAGGGACCCTTCTCTGTATGCAACACAAGAGGACAAGGAATGCCTGAGACCTAGGGACCTGGCTTAGGTATAGAATGAACCAGAATGTTCAGAAAAGTTATTTCTTGTATAAGAAAAATAGAAGGTTTTTCCTGTACTAAGCTACACTGTTTTAGTAGACTATCCTATGTATTACCTTGACTTTTCCGTGATTACTTCCAAGTTTCCACAGAACACACCCTTTTGCAGATCATCTACGTGCTACTTCTTTAAAGGAGTAATTTGGCAGAGCATTAAACCAACTGGAAGACTTTGGCTACCACTTGTGCTTCGGGGGGGAGTTTTGGTAGAATAGTGAGTTCCATGCTGCAGTGCTGTGGCATGGAAACATCTCAGTAGACTGTGGTTTTTCTTGGTAACCCATAGCAATGTGTCAGGTGACAAGTCTAAAAATAACCTGTTAAAAAGGCAAAGATGTTGTACTGACCTTACTAAGTAAAAGGAAGGTGGTTTGTATATGCTTTTAAGGAACAGGTAAAGAGTTTGCATTCTCCCCTTGAGTAGAAAGTTGCAGTTTGAGATGTGCTAGCAATGTAATTCTAATTTATATCATGAGAGGTGAACTAGAAGTAAAATCGTTACTACCCATGGGTCAACGTATACTCCCACGTTCACAAATTTATCAAGCTGCTAAACTGTGACCTGTTCCCTTGTACCACACTTCTGAGACCTCCACTGCACTAGACAGGAAATCTCTGTGGAAAGATCATGTCAAGGTTTAACATTGTCAGGGTAGTACAAGAATGTCGTATCTTCTTGGAAAAAAAAACAAAATAGTGTGTAATTATTTTTTTTTTGGCATGCTCTGTAGCACTTGCCTGCAGTGAACTAGAAGCTGGTAATTAAGAATCAATGCCAAGGGAAGTGACAACTCCAGCACTATTGGGGTGTATTATAGGAATGATGAAGCTGTGGTTGGTATTAATTGGGGAAGCAAACTATTCCACTTTCCTGTAGGCCTCTTCAGGACAGCCACACGCATGGGCACAACTAAACCATTGCAAACCTTTTCAATACATCTCTAATTTACGTATCACTCTTTCAATTTTTCCACAAATCCGTCTCCATAAAACAAGACACACTCACATGCACTGATATTCTGTTATTTATTTCTGTTGTTCTAAAAGCGGTTTGTACACTGGGAAGGAAACTGAGCCTAAGAGAATTTTTTTTAGAATTGCAAAGCTGCTGCTTTCCCTTCAGATGGAAATATTATGCTAATATAGCAAACATGGAGAATGAATCTTCAGAAGGATTTTGTTTAAAACCTTAAAAGCAAGCAACATCTATACATTCTGTATTCATTTTACATTCACTTTTTCAGTAATGATTTGTCTTTTTTAGTGTGCCTTGAAACAAAGGGAATCTGTGTGAAGTCCTAGTTACAGCTATAGTAAGGCTCTTTGTATGAGATAATCACCCCATGTTTTACATTGCCTAGGTTTCTGAGCCAAACAGTCATAATCCTGAAGGGCTTGTAAATGATCGTTTCCCTTAAACTGTAAGAATTCACGTGAAAGTTCTTTCTTAGGCAACATACATAACTTAGTGTTTTAAAAATGTGTTACAATAATATCCTTAAACTTTAAAAAGGCAGCACCAGTGTATTAATAACTTGTAAGATTTACCTTGCCTTTTAAAAAAGCTATGGGTTTTTGCCAAATGTGCGATGTCTAAATGTGACTCGTTGGATATGTATGCTTTCCAGTGTGAATGTCCATGGATTTTTAATGTGCCCTTTTTTTTTTTTTTTAGAAATAGTCAAGAAGGGACTTAGACTAATGACAATATAATAATCAATACAGTCACTGATAGATGCTTCTGAAAAAGTTTGTATTCATGTAATGCTATTACAAATTGCCAAGCAAACTCTCCAAGATTAGTAGTTCAAAGTACATTCCCATGCTAGTCTGGAATGAAAAAAATCCAGCGTCATAATTGACAACATAGCTGCTGAATGAAGAATTTTATCCGTGCCAAAGATGCATAATCTAGTAGTTTGTATTCTGCTAAATTCTACTGTGCTTTGCAGTAACAATAGATTGAACTGTTTGGGATATTTCAGTACATTTCCATTCAACAGACTGTACATAGTTTTTCAGCATAGGGAATCATCAGGAAAGAGAGATGGCTCTTTCTAGAAGAGCTGCCACTCTGAAAGGAGTTAATGATGGATACCCTGGTATACTTTACTCAATCCGTGACCAGCATTGGCAGAATTTATCGGTGGGAACCATGGGGGGAGGGGAGAGGAGTCCCTAAAGCTAATCATTAAATGTGGCCAAATGTGAGAATGGGATTGAAGGAAGTGAAAGGAATATTGGAGATTGTTATTTTCTGATTGGATTCATTTCTATTTTTAAACTATAATTAGATAATCAGTTTTCTAGATACTTTCCATTTATGCTTTCATGCTGGGCCTAACTTGTTGACTCTTCCCCGTTCTGATACCATCCACTGTCTTTTCTTAAATTCAAAGCCTTAAAAATTTAAAATGTAGAAACAAATGCTCCAAATATGTTTTGCCAACTTTACAATTCATTTCTTGTCACCAAAACGCGTATAAGCAGAAATGTAAATGATGATGATCAATCCACGGCTCATAAAATATACATTGGGCTATATGTATGTGTAATACTTGACAGCCTGTACTGGATTGTCCTATTTAATCAGGAATAAAATGCATAATCTACTAAAAGGCGTTTTCTTTAAGGAAAACAATAATAGCAACGAAGCTATCGTAGTTAGAGAATTAGGGCAAGATTATGACAAGGGGACATAAGTGCTGTGTGCGCACACACACACACACACACTTTCATAGCCTACCTAAATCGCCACTCTGTGCACTGGGGGAGAGCAGACTGTGCTGCGCCATTGCTTTCTTCTCTCCCTCCAGCTCATATGCAGGTGGGCAAGAAGTGGGACAGAGTGCCAGTAATGGGTAGAGAATTGGCTCGTGCAAGGGAAGAGTCTGTTGCACCCTTTAAAATGCCTTAGTAAAATTACTCTTCCCCAGGTGCAGCTCCTCTGAGTCACAGTTCCTTCCTGGGGCAGGGATGTAAAGCCTCAGTCTAGTCCTTAGGAATTAGCATTGAAGGTGGCAAAAAAGAAATTCCATCGTCTCGTGGGGAAAATGTACTATAGTTCTGAACAAGGATTAAATCAATCCTAGAGTTTAGAGCTGGAAAAGACCTGCTGGGCATCTAGTCCATCTCCCTGACAATGCAGGATTGCTCCCGACAGCACATTCTCTAGAGTCCTGTCTACTCTCATTTCAAATACACCATCCACCACTTTCCTTGGGAATTAGTTATACAGCCTAAAGATTGGGCAGAAGCCAGGGTGCGTGGAGCACTTAACGCTAGTGTTGACCAGGGAGTGTAAATGAGAATAATGGGATGAAGTAAGGAAACAGAATATTTAGGTTGAATATCATTGTAAGCTCCTCACCAGCCCAGGAAAAACCCATTGCCACATCTAAGTCTCTTTCAGGCCATTGCCTCAGGGCATGGTTTATTAATTGAAACACAAACTCTCAAATTCACACAAAACAAAGCTATTCCCTTGATCAACACAGGCTACAGGAGCCCAGAAGCCTTTCCCCCGGCACCTTCTTTCTTCCCTCTACCCATCCCCCCACTTCAGGGCCTGCTACAGGACCCCACTTGCTTCCTGTAGCTCTCTTCTCCACCTGAGCTCTCTCAGCCCTTTATAGGGACCACTTGTTCCCTTCCTGCTGAAGAGGGCTGAATGCCCCCTGGCCACCTAAGGCCCCAGGCCCATACACCCTGTTACAGTCATGAAATATTTCTTTCTATGTTGCATTCTCCCAAGGGAAGTGTTGGAAACCCTATTGCTTGGCACATTGACATCTGGACCCTCTCCTGTGAGGTGCTGAGTGCACCTATGTGATTTCTGAATGCCTTCTGAACTTAATTGGGAGAGGAGAGTCCTCAGCACCTCACTTGAGGTGCTCATCACCTTGTAGATTTGAGTCCTAAATGTACAACAACAAACCATTCTGGACTGGCAGGGAGGTGAACTAGATGACCTAACACGTCTTTCCCTTCTCTACATTCTAAAGGCCAGAAAACCTCCTCCCACAGAGAAACTTGTGCGTGAGTTTCCACAGAGACAGAAAACTGTGAGCTCATGGAGTTTCCTGGGAATCACCCCTCCAGATGGAGAGTTTTGTGGGGCTGTGGAGCTTTGCTGTGAGTGAAAACTCCCAACCACAGAGACCCTGGAGATCCACTTTGAAGGGACCCAGGTAGAAGGCGAGGACACAGGAACTGTCCATGCATGGCTGCCCTTCCACACAGCTCCTGTAGTTTCTCTCCCCCTGCAGCAGCCAGGTTGCTATTGCCTTTGCCTGTCCTCTCTGGCTGCCACAGAGGGAGTTAACCCAGCTCCAACCTCTGTGGACTTCTGTCCAGATTTATACATGGAAATTCATTGGGTCTGCAGGGAATGCAGCCCTTGCTCTGCTCCAGCCACTCCCACACTTTCCTTCATATCCCCACAGAACACTTGCAGAGGGGCTGCCTTCTGTTCCATCAATGTGCACCCCAGAAAAGCCATCCATCCTCCCTGTGCTGGGGTAGAGTGCATGTATGCAAAGGGAATACTCCAGCCCTATGATTCTAACACAGATCCCTGTGACCCACACCATACACCTCCTCCCAGCTTAGTATATTGCTCTTTATCATTAACCTTTTGCATACAGTTCTTCAGCCAGTTTTCTTTTTACTTGACAATGCTCCTGTCCACAATGTGGATTAATTTTGAGAGATTTCATGGGCCACTGTTAAATGCTTTGCTAAAATCTAATCATAGCATATTTGGTTTACTGTTTTTTTTTATCTACTAATCCTTGTAATTCTATCAAGTAATCAAATTTATGTGGCATGATTTTATTTTTATTAACATGCAGTGTGCTGCTTATTGCTCATTGTTCTATTCTCTTTTGCATGTATAGCCATTTTTTCCCCTCAGTATTTTTCCCATTATCTTTCTAGGGAAGGAAGTCAGATTTTGGGGTGGGATTATCAAGATCACTTTATTTTCCTTTTATTCAAGGTTATCTATTATTTAACATTAGTAAAAGTAAATCTTTCCTCTGTTTAATTTATCTTCACATTAATGTAAAACATTTGATACCAATAATTGAACAAAGCCAGGGATTATCCTTTTCTATCTGTTGTTTTTATGTAGTATTGGTTATACAGAAGCAGAGGAGGAAAGTCACTGGAGACTGTATTTAGAGGAAAAAATATCTGCTCCTTTTGCAGGAGGCATAGGCATCAAGATCCAACCTTATTAAAGGATTTATATACACAAAGTCCAGTACTGCGTGTTAAAACATGGCAAAGCTTAATGCTCTAGGTTTATTATAATTCAGATCAACAGATTACATTTAAGGGTACATTAAGCTGTTGGCTCCAATGAATAGTTGGAGTATGCTTGTAGGGAATATCACAAAAAAGGTATACAAAAATAAAGGAAAAGAGAAGATAAGAAGCGAACACAAATATATGTAATCTGTTAGAGCAAAGGTATTTGAAATCCAGTCTAATCAATGGAAAGACACCTGTTGACTTCATTGGGAGTTGGATCTGGCCCACAGTGAACAAGACTTCTGGTATTCTTTGTTCTTTAAGCTTTGAAAGAAATTGCAAGTCAGAATTGACTTCCTAAAACAAATATGGGTCTGTCTACACTGCAATTAGACACCTGTGGCTGGCCCATGCCGGCTGACTTGGGCTAAGGGGCTGTTTAACTGCACTGTAGACATTCGGGCTCTGGGACCCTCCCACCATACACGGTCCCAGAGCCCAGGCTCCAGCCCAAGCCCGAACATCTACACTGCAGTTAAACAGCCCCTTAGCCCGAGCCCCGCAAGCCTGAGTCAACTGGCACAGGCCAGCCGCAGGTTTTTAATTGCAGTATAGACATACCCTATGTTTCCTTAGGGCTTTTCAAGTAACTGAAGTGAAGCCATGATGCCTTCAATAGCTATTTTAACTTATTTTTTTATGACCAGTAGCAAGACTCAAATCTGGAAATAGCAGGAATCTGCACCCACCAATTATAATTATGACTTGTATTGTGATTGCACAATGGGGACTAGGGTACCTACGTGCTAGGTGCTGTACAAACATAGAACAAAAAGACAGTCCCTGCCCCCAAGGGCTTAGTATTCAGTCCTCCCCTCTGTGCTGTCACTGTCCTTCCTTTTAAAATGAGGACAGCATCTAAGTGCATGTTGAACTTGAAGCATGTGCTTAGTTTCCATTGATTACAATGAGACCTTAGCACATGCTTAAGTGCTGTCTTGAATAAGGATGCTTTCCTGAACAAGGGCCTTAAACCTTATTTCTAGTGTTCAGGGCCGGCTCCAGGGTTTTTGCCGCCCCAAGCGGCGGGAAAAAAAAGCAAAAAAGCCATGATCGCGATCATCGGCAGCTTCACTGCGTCGCTTTCTTCTTCGGTGGCAATTCGGCGGCAGGTCCTTCCCTCCGAGAGGGACCGAGGGACCCGCCGCCGAAGAGCCCGACGTGCTGCCCCTTCCACTTGGCCGCCCCAAGCACCTGCTTGCTCAGCTGGTGCCTGGAGCCAGCCCTGCTAGTGTTTTATTATGAAACCCAGCAAACTGCTTTGAAAGGGTTTCCCTCTTGTATATACATAAAAACAGAAGGATACTATCAGGCTAAAGATGTTCTAGGTATAATTCCATTCTTTTACACGTATAGCAAAATATGTTAAAATTCCTTATTACCATTATGTGCATCTCTGCCAGATTCTTTGGCCCACTACATGTGCTCCATGTTGCTATGGCAACACAAATCACATTTAAACCTGGCTTAATTGGCCAGTGGAGGACTGAGTAGGGCAATCCTCTGGTGGCACAGAGCCAGCTCTGTCTCGAGCCTCTGAGGGATAGTCTATATGAACAGTTAGTGCATGGCAAGCTGGGATGTAACTCTACCTCACACTAATATGCCATGCACAAACTGTCCACGTGGACCTTGCTGCCATGCACTAAAGGTCTATAATGCCCTTTGGTCTACTCCCATTATAAAGTGTATAGTTTAAAGTGCACTAAGGAAATTTTAGTCACGTCAGCAGGGTCCACACAGACAGTGCATGGCAAAGTAGATTTACACCCCAGCTTGCCACAAACTAACTGTTTGTATAGACAAGCCCTGAGTGTATGTGGTGGGACAGGTGTGCTCCTACACCTACCCAATCCCAGGCTGCTGAAATTGCCACTATGGCCTATGGGCAGCCAGCAGAAGACAGAGCAGACTGCCAGCTCTGTGGATAGGGCTGGCACTGGCCAGCTCCAGGACCAAGAAGCCACAATGGTGGCTTAATGCCGCCTGTGCCCTCTCCAGACTGGTGCCAAATGTGTCTTACCAGGCCCAGAGGATCTGGATTTCAGATCTGTTTGCTAGCCTTTCAGGAGAACTTAGTTGAAACTTTTATACATATTATATGAAATTCATATTAAAACCGTTTGGCTATAAATTAGAGAGATGGTTCCTGCCAAACAGAAATGAGGTATTTAAGAAAGAACAGCAGTTAAAGAGAAAAAACTTTATTGTAATGTAATGCAAATACTACTTGTTAGTAAATGTTAATTTTATTGGTACCTACCTTTTAGTAGTAACTGAAAACACATTCAAAAGAATTAGGCATTATTAGGAACAAGTGCATAAAAAAGTGCTATTTGGAAGAAAATCAAGACTCTAGTTGAAATTCATAAATATAACCGGTTTGTTTATGCTCTGAAGTAGAACAAACCTATTGATTCATTTTATATGGTAAGACTTTTCTCAGGAATAATGATCAAATATGTTTGCTTTACTTTCTTGCTAAGCAATTGTTTGGGAATTTATTTTTTTTAGCCCGAGGAAACAACAGCTGGACCTGTAGGAGCACCTCCAACTGTATCAGCTCAATCAGAAGAAATGGATTTCTCAGGACATCATATATTAGATGAAACACCTGAACTACCTACAATCAAAGAACAAGGCACTATCATATTACCCTTTTTTACTTCTATGCTCTTCACGGCCAGGCCTATATTTTCTCTGTATAGAAAGCATGTGGCAAATTTTGGGTGCTACCTGAAATATACATAATCATTTTAAATATCTTAGATATTCTGTTTATTATGATGGGCATCTCATCAGTACTGAATGTGATGAGCCTACTGCAGGGTAAAATACATTTTTCACCAAACAGTTGCACTTTGAATTTTTCAAATTGGTCCATTGTAACAGTGGTTATAGGTAGAGACTACAATCCCTCCTGAGCCCCTTTTTGGTAACCATGGGGCCCACAAATCATTTAACCACACCTTGGGCAAAAAAGATCCTTAGTTCTTAGATGTACAAAGAGCAGGCATACCTCTCTCAACAAAGATGAGTCCCAATCATAGCTGCATTTAACTAAACTAGTTTATTTGACAGGAAAAACAGATAAAACAAAGAATTAAAATAAATTCTTGGTCTGTATGAATCTCAGTGGACAGTAATGCAAGCCAGCGGACATGCATACCCACCAGTTCTGGTGTCTTGCAGTAGCGTACCTGGTCAACTGTGCAGTACTATATGTAGGAAGGATTTTTACTTCTCTAAATTCTGCTTAGATCAGCTGATACTTCACGTTCCCAGGTATCATTACCCCATCTTAGAATGTATAAATATAAATGTTATTGGTTCTAAAATTGTCCAGCCCCTTTTAAAAATTTAGCTCCAGTATTTAATTCTGTGATCTCTTATGATAGTGAATTCTGCATACTTAACAACACTGTTATCCATCACAGTAATGTCTGAGCACCACACAGACAAATGTATCTTTGCCATACCCTGTGAGGTAGGGGAGTATTATCCCCAATTTACAGTGGAGAAACAGGCACAGAGAGATTAAGGGCCAGATTCTCAAAGGTCTTTAGGCACCTAAAGATACAGAGAGGTGCCTAGTGGGATTTTCAGAAGTGCGTAGGCACCTAAACTTATGTTGATTTCAGTGGGAGTTAATTGTCTAGGCACTTTTGAAAATCAAACTTTGTCCCTATCTGCCTCTTAAGGCACCTAAATTCCTTTAAAAATCTGGCCCGAAGTGACTTGGTCAAGGTCAAACAAGAAGTCTGTGACAGGGCCAAGAATTGAACCCAGATCTCTTGAGCTCCAGCCTACCATCTTAGCAACAGGGTCACTTAATTGTCATTCATTGGATGGTCATGATGATGAAAAGTGAGAAACTATGAGAGATAAAAAATCTAAAATGTGAGGCACCATTTTCCCAATGTGTATAGAGTACTTGATCCTATGTAGTGCAGGTCTGGAGCATTTCATGTGTAAGTGCCAGGTACAAAGTGCTAAGCAGGGCACAAAGCACAGAAGAACCCAATTCTCCAATAGTGAAAAAACTGCAGCACACAACCACATTACTAGAGCAGGAATCAGCAATAGGAGTAAGGACAAAGAGGAGACTGCATAACTAATTACCTCACTCTTAGACAGAGGATTACACTTAAGCCAACGGCTCCTGAAACAAACCTTGCAGGGTACATCCCTCATTTTTAAATCTGCACAGTTGAAAGTTAGGCAGTGGGAAGGCAAAGGGTTGAAGCAAGAAGATCAACCAATGCATTCTCCTTATCTCACCCATTCCTACAGTACATCCCCTCTTTTGTACCTATCTTCTCTCTTTTTGTACTTTTTTTTTTTAAATCCCTCTAACTATCTTTCAAAGTTTTTGAAATAACTGTGTTTTTATTTAACTCCATCCTTCTCTATTACAGAAAGATTTTATTTTTGCCTTGAGTTTTGGGGGTTTCCCTTCTTTCCCACTTTCATCTTCTGTTTGTGTATTTTTGCCAAATACCAATTATTTTCTCTCTTTTGCCTTACTATATGTTTGCTCTCTTCCCTGATAAATGTCTTCTAGTGTGTTTTCTCTATTTTATTTTATTTAGGTTCAACCAGTGCAGGAAATGATCAACATGAAAGTGACGCCACTACGGTAGCCCAGGAAATACTAAAACCACAAGCTGGTTCTGGTGCTATTGTTTTGCAAGGAGTGAGCAGAGAAAAGGTTAGTATAGGTGGCTTACTATGTAGCTCCTCATTGTGGTTCTGATTCAGGAAAGCACTTATGCGTATCATTAAATGCTTTCCTGAATTAGCACCTTTATCCTTTCCAGCTTACTAATGTTTATGGTGATCAGTTATTTGTATACTTAAGCAGGTATGGCATCTCATGGCAACATCGTATCCAAACCCACTTGGACTGTTGGGCAGTTCAAATCTAGTTCCAAACTTTCCAGTTCATACTGAGCCATAGACAGAGCAAACATGTCCTTTTGATGTGGACTACTTTTACTTTATTTAAAGAAGCAATGAAGAAGGAAAAGAACCCCTATAAATCCTCAAAGTAAGAGCCTGGAGTCTGTTGTTCATTTTATAACAGCCATCTTGAACTAACTTGTAGAGACAGCCTTGCAGACTAGGGGGCTACTTTATTCTTAAAGTAAAGCCCCTGGTGCATGTTACGTAACTTTAAATCTGTTTGGTATGCTACACAGCATACACCAGGGCTCCTTCTTTATCAACTGGCTAGAGCAGTTGAGCCCAAACTCCTTGAATTTTGGAGCAGTTCAGTTCTGAAATTTGTATCTGTGGCTCGTCTCTAGAACTGAGTCAACAATACCGCCCTCCCTCAGTAGTTAAAACAAAACCTCTTGAAATAGATTACATTTTCAAGAGAGGAGGCAAAAGCACTTGAACAGATTTGAAAGCCAGTTTGATGGTTCGCAGAGTACTCTTGCAAAAATTCTGTGAATTTTTTTTCATTTTTGGTGGTTTTGAAACAAAATAGGCCCAGTTCACTTAGCAGATACCCACAGTATATCTGAATTGTGCTAGCTAGTTAAAGCACAGAATTCCCTTAGACACAAAATTATGTCCACACCAACTTCATACTCAAAATTTGAGAGGCTGATCCTACAGTCTTTACCCAGACGTCATTGGGAGTTTTGCCTGAGTAGTGGCAGCTGGGTATGGCCCTGGGTACTTTGATAAAAAAGCACACAGTGTTAGAACATAAGAAAAGCCACCAGACCAGCGGTCCAACTAGCCCAGTATCCTGTCTTCCAACAGTGGCCAATACCAAGTACTTCAGACAGAATGAACAGAACAGTGCAATTATTGAGGCCCATCCCCTGTCATCCACTCTCAGCTTCTGGCAATCAGAGGCTAGGGACTCCCAGAGCATGGGGTTGCATCCCTGACCATTTTGGCTAATAGGCTGGTCCCACATGGTGGGGAGGAATGAACATATTACACCCAGTGCTCACACAAGGCCTTGTGCCTGCTTGATTTGTATGCAATTATGTTGCTCCAAATATCATGGAAAGCTGGAAATCAAATTGGGAGCTCTTAGCCTAAAATGTCATGAATCAGAAGGATATTTCATCCTCTAGTTGACATGTGTAGCTGGCTACCTGCAAGTCCTCCTCTTCAACATACTGCCAAATATTCATATATCATTAGTAGCTTTATTAATCACCAGACCTTTACCCACTAGATTAATATTGTTCCTTTCCTTGAACTTACCTTTGTATCTCCAACTTTAAGTTCTCTGCTTCAGTCTTACTTTGTTCTGTCATGGTTTGAAATTGCAGTACATCAATGCTGATCTCAGCTGCCAGCAAAACATGCAGAGTGGAAGTTTAATTTTGAAGTTACTTGATATTGTGTGTTTCAATTGGACATGTACCATTGCTAAGGCTAAGATTTTGTCATGGTTATTTTTAGTAAAACTCATAGACCGGTCTCAGGCAATAAACAAAAGTTCTCCGAAGCTGTGACCTCTCTGTGACACCCCCAGCCGCTCGCCCAACGCGTTCCCCCTCCCCTGTGCGAGGCTGTTGCCTGTCGCTGGAACCCTGCCAGGGCCCCGCAGGCTGCCAGCTCCAGAGTCCTGCTGTCCCTGGGTCTGAAGCAGAGAATGTCAGGGAGGTTTCTGGAAGTCAGGGATTCCATGACTTCCATGACCTCCGTGACATAAACGTAGCCTTAACCGGTAAAAAGAACAGGAGTACTTGTGGCACCTTAGAGACTAACAAATTTATTTGAGCATAAGCTTTCGTGGGCTACAGCCCACTTCGTCAGATGCATAGAATGGAACATATATTGAGGATATATATATACACATACAGAGAGCATGAAAAGGTGGGAGTTGTCACACTAACCTTTTCTCTGCTCACTTCTCAGAGTTGGTAAGACAACTCCCACCTTTTCATGCTCTCTGTATGTGTCACACGGCTGCTACTCCGTAGCCTTAACCATTGGCTTTTATGCTTTTACGTGCTCTTCATGTCAGTCCTAGTGCTTGTTGTGACAGATTATAATGAATGGTGAAAGAGTAGCTTTATGATAGGCCATGCAAGTTGGGTACATGGATTTGCATAAGGTTTAGAATTTATTTCAGAACTTACAAATATAATTCCTCTAAAACGTTCACTTCCTATGACTCGAACAGTATGTACAACTTCTAATTCATAGACTTTAGGGCCAGAAGGGATAATTGTGTCTGATCTCTTGCATACCGCTAGCCACTCCCCATAATCTCTGCAGCAAGTCCATAATGTCTAGTATATCTGTTAAAAACTATATCCTTTCTTGATTTGAAAAAATGTGATGAAGCTTCTTAAGTCTCTCCCTGTAATGCATCTTTTCCAGATTGCAGATAATTCTTGTAGCCTTTGTTTGCTCTTTCCCATTTTTAAACATCCTTTTTTATGTGTGAACACCAGAACTGGACCCAGGATTCCAGTAATGGTCTCACTAATGCTGCATTCAGAGGTAATACCATCTCCCTACTTCTAATTGATATTCCCCTGCTTATAGATCCGAGGATTGTGTTCACCCTTTTAGCTACAGCATCACACTGGAAGCTCACGTTCATCTTTTATGTACCATCCCTGCCTAAGTCCTTTTCAGGACACAGTCCCTCATCTTATAAAAGTGACCTACATTTTTAGTTCCTAGATGTATAACCTTTAATTTGGCTGTTTTAGAACACATGATTTTCCAACAAGCCATCCAGGTCAGCCTATCTAACTGATCTGTCTCCACCGTTATTTACCACTCCACCAATTTTAGTGTTATCTGCAAATTTTACTAGTAATGAGATTATATTTTCTTCTAGAGCATTGACAAAGATATTGAACAGCACTGGGCTGAGAACAGATCCCTGCAGGATCCAACTAGAAGGGCTTTCCTTGGATGGCAATTCCATATTTACAATTATTTTTGCAGTCTATCAGTTAACCAGTTTTTAATTGATTTAATGTGGGCTACATTGGGTTTTATATTAAAAAAAAAATTAATGGAGATATCCTATCTCCTAGAACTGGAAGGGACCCTGAAAGATTATCAAGTCCAGCCCCCTGCCTTCACTACCAGGACCAAGTACTGATTTTGCCCCAGATCCCTAAGTGACCCCCTTAAGGATTGAACTCTCGGTTTAGCAGGCCAATGCTCAAACCACTGAGCTATCCCTCCCCCGTTTATGTAGCATTAACTTTTTTTTAATCAGAATGTCATGTGGCACTAAGTCAAAAGCCTTACAGAAATCTAAGTATCTTATGTCAATACACTTACATTTACCAACAAAACTTGTAATCTCATTCAAAAACAAAGTAAAGTTTGCCCAAGAGGATTTATTTTCCATAAAATCATATTGACTGGCATTAATTATGCTACCATCTTTTAATCCTTTACTGATTATATCCCATATCAGCCTTTCCATGATTTTGTCCAGGACTGATGTCAGGCTAACCTGTCTGTAATTTCCTGAGTCTTCCCATTTACCCTTTTCAGTATTGGCATGGCATTAGCTCTTTTCTAGTCCTGTGATACATCTCTAGACTTCCAAGATCTATTAAAAATCAATACTAATGGGTCAGAGAGTTCCTTGGCCAATTCTTTTAATACTCTTTGATACAAGTTATCTGGTCTTATAGATTTTAAAAAATTTAACTAGATATTGTTTAACATACTCCCTAGTTATTGACAGAACAGAAAGATATGCTTACATTATCCTGCTTCTTTCCAAATACAGAACAAAAATAATAATTGAATACTTCTGCCTTTTCTATTGCATGATTGACAATTTTACCATTCATCTAGTTTTGGACCAATACCACTGGTAGGATTTAGTTTGTTCCTGATGTGTGTAAAGAACTAGTTTTTATTGTCTGTGAGAGGGTGTTCTGGTGCTTTGTGGGGTAGATACTTTAGGAGAGGATTCTATATTCTATAAAACTCATTGTTTTGTATGTGGTGTGATAAGGGGACTGAAGGTGATATAAATGGAATATGAAAGATCATCTTGTCTTATGGAGGGCATTTTATTTTTCTGTGTGAGCTGCAGCATTTGGTTTGTGTGTTTGTTTTTGTTTGTTTGAATTCCATTCTGGCTCTCTTTTGGGAATCAAAAGGGCATCAGAGATTCCTGACACCTGGGAATCAGTTGGATTGCCTTAACCACCAATTGGCCAGAAAGACAGGGACTAATTGTCCTGGTTTAAGTCTCACCTGGCCTCTAAAGAAAGCAGAGTCTAGAGCCAGTCAGGACCAGAGAGGGGCCAGATAATAATTCTCCTGTCCGTGGAAGGGGGCAATTCAAATATTGAAAGCTATTGGCTTCCTGCTTCTGGATGGTGGGGCTAAAACCTTGGAAGATTGCAGGCTAGAAAACCCCAGCTAGGGAACTGAATTCTGCCTTTTTTGTTTTGTTTTGGTACATGTCGTCCTCCCAGTTTTGGGGAGGACAAATTAAAACTTGTATTCCACCTTTAAGAGGGAGATAAAGCATGGCTATGACTTTTTTTAAAAATAGAAGCTAGACCCACCTCTTGGGATGTTCTTTTGATATTGTCCTTTACCCTGCTGGTCATTGATGTCTTTAGCTTTCCTTATCAACTGTCTGTATTTACTAACTGCTGATTTGTACTCTTTGCTATCAGCTTCCTAATTTTTTCCATATATGTGGTAATGGCTGCTTTCACTTCACTTACCAGGTTGATTTTTTTTTTTTTTAACCAAAGAAGCCTTATTTCATGATCGCTGAACTGTGTGTGTGGTGAGGCAAGGGTGTTGGATTTTTTTGGGGTGGCTAACAGAGCATTCTTAAATAGCTACCCATTATTAACATTTTTATGTTTAAATTTTCCTCCCACTCAGTTTTGTATGGGAAATTGGCTTTTTCAAAGCACCAAATGTATATGTTGCTGGTTGGGGACTATATTCTGTCTGCACATAACTGGTGAAATTAGGTCATGACCGCTTGTACCCAGGCAATCATCCCATTTTAGCTGAATGATCAATTCATCTTGATCAGTCAGAACGAGGTTTAATACCCTGAGTTGGTTGTAATATATGTTGGTACAGTGCCTGGGGCCCCATTGTGCTTAACTGGTTTGAGGCCTGTAGGTATGATGGCAATATATGTTAAAATAATAAAAAGAAAATAATAAAAACCTATTATTGTATATTATACATTCTTAGGGTCAAAAAGGTGAGAGAGGTGAAAAGGGAGAGCAAGGGCCGCGAGGACCACCAGGACAGTCGGAACTAGAAGAAATGCAGACAGGGATTCAAGGACCCCCTGGGCCTCTAGGAAAACCTGGGCGAGATGGTGAACCTGTGAGTACTACATCTCTATTGAAGCCACACACATCATCTAGAGAGACCAATATTCATTTATCACACACAGGTGAAGGGCTGATTCTCTACTGCCTTGCACCCTGTGTAGTCAGAGTGGGTGTTTAATCATACCACATCAAAATAGTAGTCTTCTGCACATGTCAGTGGTTCTACAAGGTGCCTGGCCATGGCGATTCCGGACCAAAGGGTGTAAAACACAACTGCTGAGGTGTCAGCCAAGCTCCTCAAGGATGGCACTTGCATTTTGAGAAATGTTGGATGGACAGGTTGTGTAGCTCCCAAGAAGCATGGTTTATGTATCCCCTGTAAGCTGCAGCTTATGGATAAACAGAGTGTTTTATACTTCACTCTCTCCTTGATCACAAATACATGCCCCCAATTAAATACGTATACAAAATAGTGCACCCGGTAACACAATGCAGATCCCAATTCTGTTTTGATATTTTGTCACAGCATGAAATGCTGGCCATTAAGATGCAGTGACTTGTTTTTATCCCTCTTCTTCTACTTTATACATGTTCTATGTACCTTTCTAAAATGGGTGTTTTCTTTTAGGGCATTCCTGGTAAAGATGGATTGCCAGTAAGTACCTTTTTCATGCATATTTTAGTTCGTTGAAGAGAAAGAAACCTAGCATGTCTTTGTCAGACTGACACTCAGCTAAGTTTGAGCTTAAGCTATACAATGCTGTTTTGCAACCCTGTTCTCAATAGGCAGTTTGGTATCTGAACTGCTGCACTATGTTATAATGAAAAGCAAGAAGACTGTAATGTTTCAAAGGTGCATCACAAGCATTTGGGACCCCAAGATGACCATCCTTGACTGATCACAGGTCTGTTTCACACTGATAGACTCCAGGACTTCTGAAATCATTCTTCTGTTTTGTGAATACTGTTTAAGGTTGGCAAATAGCGTGAACTAACTCCTTCACCATGACTTATGGCTGTCAAGCTGTGTTTGTAACCATTATGTAAACAAAGGGATGCATTGCAGCCTTCAGTTTCCCAGCTGCTTCTCCCTCCAGTCCCTTTCTTCTAGGCCTTAATAGGGTGTCGGCCTATAGGATCTTGTGTAGCTAGTGATGAAGGGCTCACTTGCTGATTCACGCTGGCTGCCAGACGAGGTGGGCACTTCGTGCTCCAACCCAGGTTTATACAAGAGCTCTCTCAAGGGAGAGGGAACTAGAAGGAAGACGAGGGGAGCCCTGCACAGACCAACCCTTTGAGAAGCCAAGCTCTGGCAGGAAGTTTTGTTTGATGCTATTTAAGTTAGTATAAAGGAAACCCCAAGAAGAGGATATACTTGGACCCTTTTCAGTGTATGTACTGTGTTAAGAGCAAGGTGAGAACAACATGTGATTACCCGCCCTAAACTACAGCACTCACCCAACTCCCAGCTGCTTCCCCATCTTCCACTCCTAACCTCAGCTGGTACAATCCTTCCTCCACAGCTCCCATCTGCCTTCCCCACCCCCATTCCTCTGTGTCCTCAACTCTATCACATTAACTGACCCACACCACCTGCCTCACTCCCTGGCTCCACCCTGCCCACAGCTACCACATACCCCTGATCACCACTTCTCCTTGGCCCATTTCCCATCTCCTCAATTGCCCTGTTGTTCCTCCCTCCCCTGACTTAAACCTGCCTCCCAGCTCCTGAAACCCACCCAACCCACTTCCACATTACATTGTCCCAGTGCATTTTTCATCTGCTGTTGTTTGGTGTGATCTTCCTCGATGCTCAGGTGTTCCCTAATGGCTTCTCACCTGTGTCATTCTGTCAACCTTCCTCCATGCTCCCAGGTCTCTGGCTTCTCTTCTAGCTGCCTCATTCCATCCACTCTCCCAGAGTCAAGTGTCCCCCCACTCTCTTCTCAGCTGCTATGACCCATGTGCCCTCTGCAATGCTCTAGTGTGACATATCTTCCAGCTACCTTCCATTTTCCCACTCCCCATCCTGTTGCTATATTTTCCATCCTCCCTCCCTCTCACAAGGAAGCATCTGGGTGAGGATATCATCTACCTCATGTACCCCTTTCCCCTTCCAGAAATCTCCTACACAAATGCTAAAAACTTTGTCTGTTTCTGCCCTCTGTATACACTCCTCAGGGCAGGGTCACATTTTTATAATAGTCAATACAAATAATCCAGTGGTGAGGGGGTTAATTATTCAGCCCAACAGGCAAACAAATGCTTCATCTAGCTGCAAATCTCTGTTCATACTCCACGCTCAAAGAAATCTAGTTATTATTGCACAAGGTCAATTCATATTTAGGAGAAATTTTTTATCATTAGAAAAGCTGTACCAGGCAAAGAAGCCGACCTTTTTAGCTTTGCACTATTCTTTCTTGCTCTTAGCATTTTAATTTTAAGCAGAACACATTTTTTTAAACAAAAGCCATGACAAAATGTTCTGTGGAAAATGCTTCAATTATATAAAGTAATTCGGAATTTTATTTCTGCGGGAGCAACACTTTAAATTAACCTCTGCATGTTTGGATATCTTTTTCTTTTACAATTCTCTGTGGTATAAAGAATCATATTTCCTCCCTTAGCAATCTTGTTGCAGCTTTACTTATGTTCGGAAACCATTTTGTCTGTGTGCAATTAGGCCCCTATCCTGCTAATACTTTCACACACGCTCAACTATGCTACTGTGAGCAATCCCATTGAAATTAATGTACTATTTGCAGTAGTGCAGGAAAGCACATGTGCAAGTGTTGGCAGGGTTGGGGCCTTAGTGCGTAAAAAGCATTTTGCCATAACCAATTAATCAGCAGAGAAATCAATATTAACCACCAAGGAAAAAAAATGAAATCCTGTGGGTACATTTGAGTCTTACTGCATCTAGTTCATGGATCTTTACAGTTAGTGCAGTGCTATCATGGTTAGACTCTGACAGTGGATACGATTAACACACACCATTGTCCATATTTCCTTAGAGAAAAAGTTTACAAATGAACATAAATCTGAGCTTCATTTTCCTCTGGATTTCGTTCCAGAATCTTAGGTTAGCTGGCTAATTCATTGCACTTGATAGCCTTATCCTGCACCACTTAAAATCAGTGGGAACTTTGTTATAGACTTCAATGAGCAAAGGCTCAAGCCTTATATAGAACACAGCATATGCATATTGTATTCGGGGGGGAAATACACCAAGGGATAAGCGGGTTATTTGGGTTTGGGAGTTGAGATTTATTAGAACCCTGAGGGTTAAAAGGAAACTTGAGGTCTAATACTGCAAGGTAATTTCTGTGAGATGCTTAGCACCCATTGAACTCAATGGGAATTGAGGGTGCTCAGCATGTTGCAGGATAGGGCTCTAATGATTCCAGTAGGAGATGAGTGGAGTCAGCACCTCACGTTGAGGCATGCTGCATGTTGTGTGGCACCTCGATTAGCAGCTTACAGCAGTATATTACGTAAGTATTTCCACGGGCAAATATCCGACTGTCCTCTTCCCTACTGCCCATTACCTTGGTGTGAAATTGAAACTGGTGACCTTCCAATGTACATTTTGGAAATGAATAATTTGGGTCAGGTGAAGACAAAATGTCAGCCTGGAATCTGCCTACTATTATCACATTGAGGAAATGCAGAACAAATAGAGAACTATTCCAAGAGTTCAGGTAATCCTCTACTGTCTTACAAAAGGTCTGCTAATATATTAATCAGTCACAGATACCTGGGAAAAATCAGGTGAGAACTTTGCACACTTTAGCTTCCTTCCAAATAGACTATAGCAACTTTCCTATGGGCACTTTTTGGTTTTCTAAATATCCATCATTTATAGGAATTATATTTTAATGGAAAGAAAATATTGAATAAAAATGTCTTTTTAGGGTGAAAGAGGTCTTCAGGGATTGCCAGGGTTGAAGGGAGAGGATGGCCTTAAAGGAGAAAAGGTATGTGTCCTATCAGTGTCTAAGAACCAATTGGGTTAGCTACCATTCATCTTTTGCTTTGAGTTAATTTGATATGTTCTGAAAGGAAATAAAATACAGAAAGCATAAGAAGAATTTATGTACCCTTCTCCCCCACCACGCATCTATTCAAAGACCAGTCACAATAAAGCCCTAAGGATTTTGCCAGAAGATGTATAAATATGGCTTATATAAACAGTTACGCTTTCACAGGAATATGTTAGTTGGAGAAGATAAATGTGTAACTCTTAATAAAAGAAATGAGACTCAGTTGGAAAAATTGCACTATTATGTGTGCAAGGCCCTTCCTTTTCAGTTTTTAGTGATTTCTACCAAAAAAAAATCCTGTTTTGTAACTAATTTTCACCTGAATTTTGGAATACTCAAGTACATGAAAATACTGATTATATTAAGAAAATCCAGTGCATTACATTAGGTAGAAATGTTTATGTTCATACTTTAGTCCAAGTGTAAATGTGAGGTTGTCAAATAAGTTAATGTAGTAGAAGATATATATATACACACACACACACACACACACACACACACACACACAAAGTATGTATTTGTACTGTTAATATACAATTCATGAAGTAAACCATGGCATTAAACTGCTTTTACTTTCAATACTCTTACTTTTTTCTTTGTTGCTTTTTCTCTCTCTCCTCCGATCCTCCAATATTAACCCCAATATTTACCCAGAAGTTAATATTTTGTGCCGATTTTCACCCACTTAAAATTTTTCGTAATAAACACCAATACATTTCTGAGAAATATTAAACAAAAAATGAAGGGCCTTGTATGTGTGACTGTGACTATGCTCTGCCAGATAAACTATGTAGGAGATTAGAGTACAGTCCTATTTTAGCCTTGCAGAGTAGCCAAAATCAGTGTTCACATTTTGAGGTGACTACTCCTGTCTCTGCTGAGCTGAGGGTAGCTAGTGCAGGTGAATTAATTGCTGCATTCCATTTGAAAAATTCAGCCAGCAATTTAGACAAGTGGACAAATGAATCATTAATGTTAACTGGTCAGTGTTTCATTAACAAAGTGTGAAGCTGAATGCAGGTTAAGTTGAACAAGTGGAACTTTATTAAACCCTGTGCATTGCTCTGTCCACATGGCTGTGTTACTTCCAGCCTAACTCCCCACCTTCCCTGTTTTCCTGGTGTCCTTCAATAGGGTGACCAGGTGTCCGGTTTTTGACCGGAACATCTGGTCGAAAAGGGACCCTGGGGGCTCCGGTCAGCATTGCCGACCGGGCCGTTAAAAATCCGGTCAGCGGTGCTGCGGAGCTAAGGCAGGCTAGTTCCTATCTGTCCTGGTACCGCGCTGCGCCCCGGAAGCAGCCAGCAGGTCCGGCTCCTAGGCAAGGGGGCCACAGGGCTCTGCGCGCTGCCCCTGCCCCGAGCATTGGCTCCGCACTCCCATTGGCCAGGAACTGCGCCCAATGGGAGCTGCGGAGGCAGTGCCTGCAGGCAAGAGCAGCTCGCAGAGCTGCGCCTCCGCCTAGGAGCTGGACCTGCTGGCCGCTTCCAGCAGGGCCGGCTCTAACTTTTTTGCTGCCCCAAGCAGCAAAAAAAAGCGCCGCCCCCCCCCCCCCCCCCCCCCC